TATCTACACAAACATAACATGGCATTATCTCAAGTCTCTGCGTCTCTGGCCTTCTCTCTTCCCAGTAATCTCTTGCTCTCTTCTGTATGCTTCCTTCCTCTGGTATTAGTCTCTGACTAGTTTCGGATTTTGTCTTGCCAGATCCTGGCTCCATAAAGCTAGCCGGAATCACAAACCATAGTAGGGTTCATGTTCCGCAACTTGCTGGAATCCGATCAACCTTCGCTACGGGTTCACCTCTCTGTACGTCTTCTTTAATCCCTGAGCTTATTCCCTCAATTTTCTCTAAATTGTAATTTGAATTTGAAATTTTGGGTTTCTGGGTAGCTGAAACTTTGGGGGTTTCTGATTAGAGGAAACTTTAAGAACTGAATTCCCAATTTGTATAGATGATTTGTGCATTTGCTTGCTAGGGTGAGTAAATCGGAAAAGAACAAAAAAAAAAGAGAAACTTTATGTCATGTGTGGTTAGGCTCTGAAATGGGGAAATTTCAGATTGACTTGGTAACTAATTTCTTGCTTTGTGCATTTGCTTGATAAGGTGAGTGAATTCCGAAAGACAAAAAAACTTTGTTGCTTTCGATTTATCTTTTGTGTGTGTTTCTGGCTATGTTTCAGTGCCATTGAATTTGAGAATGACTCGTGGAGGAAGAAGAAGTGGAAACAGAGGAGCATCAGTTTCCATTAGAAGTGAGCAAAACACAGAAGGAAGTAGCGGTTTGGACATATGGCTTGGTCGTGGCGCTATGGTTGGTTTTGCAGTTGCCATTACAGTTGAGATTGCTACTGGAAAAGGACTTCTTGAGGTAACAACATCATCAAAGACTCTTCCTTAAACATGAGAAATGTAGAAAACCATAGTACCTCAAAGTTTGATCTAATGTGTGTATTGTTGTTTTTTGTTTCAGAATTTCGGGGTAGCGGGTCCATTGCCTACGGTTGCTTTGGCTGTTACAGCGTTGGTCGGTGTTCTAACTGCGGTTTTCATCTTCCAATCTTCTTCTAAGAACTGATAAATCCCCATGTGTTTGTAAAATGCTGCGGGCGGATCATTTTGTTGTGTCACTGAAATTTCTACATTCATCAGAATGCAAATTTCTTTTTTAGTTTTTTTCTTTGGCTAAATGGTATGAATCATGTTTGTGTTTATACATACATATATATATAGATTCCTCTTCCTCCCATCAACTTTATGTACTTCCACTTCTTATTATCTCTTCCATGTACAATCCCTTAATATGTTACTCCGACCTCAAGTACACAACTTATGTTACTCTTTACATAGGAATTAGATCCTCAAATCATTATTATTTGTTTCCTAAGCATGGACTCATGCCATTGTTATGTGACAAGGCAAACATATCATGGACACTAAAACATGTTGATGTCGGCAAGGTATAGGCACGAAACGCATCATTGTATGGTTGTTCTAGTCGGGTATTCTGATGGTGAAAGTAGAAATTCTCAGGGCGAGATTATTTAGAGCTATAACTAAAAATTTATCCTCCACAATTGGAAATAAATAGGAACTGCATCCTTTTAAGATAAAGGCAATCGCCCGTATAACTTTCTAAAACCCTAATACATTTTTATATTATTTTAATCTCTTATATATACATATGCCCAAAACCTCCCCATCAATTTTTAAGCCTTTAACACATTATTAAAAAAAAAAAAAAACCAAAAGT